TCTTGTAGATAGTTTTAACTTCGAAATACACTGTGTTTCTGCAGAGCGCAATGCGTAGCACGATGTTTACTATTCGGAGTACGAACTCTCTATAACATTTAATAAGCAAGCTGTACACTTGACAGGCACCCGAACCAAGTGAACCATGGGTGGGTACCCGGAGCTGCACCCAAGATGGCAGCCCCTGCCTTAATATGCATCCCGTTACGAAAAAACCTATAGGTTCCGAAGACTGTTTATTTCTCAACGTGCACACCCGATCACTTCCCAAGCACCCGGTTTCACTGAAGCCAGTGATGGTTTTTATTCACGGTGGCGCCTTTACGTTGGGTTCGGGAACCCAGCAGATGTGCGACTCAAAATTCCTGCTCACCAAAGACATCGTCCTGGTTTCTATGAACTATCGGCTGGGAGTATTCGGTAAACCTGTTGCGCAATTCAATGTGCTACGATTGAAAAATTTCCGTTGTTATTAGGCTTTCTCAGTCTGGAGGATAACATGTTGGATGTGCCTGGAAACGCCGGCTTGAAGGACCAAACGATGGCACTGAGATGGGTGCAAGAGAACATCGCTTGCTTCAACGGCGATCCCGGAAATGTAACCATATTTGGCATCAGCGCTGGAGGGGCTTCGGTACAGTTCCAAGTTAGTAGGAAAAGTTTTGTTGACTGATTACTCAGGCAAATATGAGTGAAAAATCGGCTTTGCACTCATTAGTCCTCGTCGATACGTGGACTAGTAGGTCTCAGACTGGTCAGGTCTGAATGATTTTCGCTCTTGTATTACTGATGAGTTTCTGCGAATTCAGATAGTGTCGCCTACTGCAAAGGGGCTGTTTCACAAAGCGATAGCGCAAAGCGGCTCAGTGCTCAATCCGTGGGCTTGGGGCCAACGAAACGGCCTCCAATTGGCTGAAAAGCTGGGCAAAAAGGTGACCAGTGAGAAAGAGGCTTTGATCCTGCTTAGGGGCCTTTCCGATGTTCAACTTTACGAGACCAGCCTACTACTAACAGACGTAAGGTCTAGTTAAGCATGGTAGGCAAGCGATGCAAAACTTTCAGTTTGTAGGATTTTATGAACATGGCAGTCCGCAGGCCGTTTGGTCCGATTATTGAAAAACCGAATCCAACAGCGTTTTTATGCGAAGATCCTGCTCTTATTCTTGCCACTGGCCGATACAACCAAGTACCTCAGATTCTCGGTAAGTTCCATAGAAGTTTGTTCCCGAATAGTTTAGCAATCGTGGGGGTTTTAGGAGCGTGTTCCAACGAGGGTCTGATTTACGAGTTTTCAACTTTCTTTCGTGTGTCCGCGGATTTTCAACCGGAAAAGCAGATTATTCCTTGGAACGTCAAACTGGCCGCAGAAAGTAAAACTTTATGGCAGAAAAGGCTCAGTCAACTCTACTACAAAGACGGCGTTAAAAAATCGGGAGTGTTTGAGGTAAGAATCACATGCGCAATCCTCCAGGTTTTGATTAATTAAGATTTTAGCAAATTGGCGATGTGGGCTTCTACGTGGGAGTGACGGAGTCGACAAAGTTGGCTCTGAAAAACGCCAAACAACCGATTTACTTGTACAAGTTTTCCTATCAAGCTGACATGGTGAAGCAATTGTATAAGTTAATGCGACTTCCAGGTGAGGCTTAGTTTCTACTGTCAATATTGGCAATTTCGGCCTGGCTTTCAGAATCCACAGCAGGAGTGGCTCATGGTATGGATGGTAACTTCCTATTTCCCTGCCGCTGGATTCCAGGAGTTGAACTGGAAGTGAATGCAGAGGACGCGAAAGCCATCCAATCAGTGGTGGAAATCTGGACGAACTTTGCCTACACAGGAAATCCGCATACCCAATGGGAGCCTGTGACTGATCTCGAAAATCTGAAGTATCTAGATATCGACAAGGAGACCCAAATGCGTAACCAACTGTTGAAAGAGAGACTTGACGTTTGGGCAAATCTGACTCAAAACACTGGATTTTCGTTAACAGCACTGGATACTCCCGCCAAATAATTTCAAATATTCACACTCACTGTACAGGGTGTTTCCTCATAAGACACCCTCCTTAGATCATTTATTTCAAAAAATGAAAAAAAGTGGTAAATGCTAAAGTTGTTCATTATTACGTAACTCTAACTTTTAAAATCTTTTGTTAATATAAAAATGAAAAGATATGAAAACAGGATGATTTATCCTAATTTATTTAATCTAAAAGTGGACGGTTTTAGAAACGACGGGCGTAACGGTTAAGATTACAACATCGTAAAAAAACTGAAAACATTATGTAAAACAACTTCTCGCAGTCCCTCAATTTGCCACCAGTTCATTTCCACGGCTGAAGAACTGACCGATCTGATCGGGGCTACCTCCTGGTTAGGGCTAGCTTTGTCTCGTTTCCACATACGACTAAAATTGGTATCCTATTCGGACCGCACTTTCATTGGCAAATATTTACCAATCCCATCAATGGAGAGAACGAATACTGATTTTTTTTATTTGCCCGGCGGCTGGAGGAATAAAAATCTTCGCGAAGACACCCAGTGTTCCGAACCCTGGGTAGTGTTGGATTCTTACCAACTAAGTTATCCTTTAAAACTTGTAGCCCTCTCAAGGAATTTGTCAGCTTCGGCATCCGTATGCCATAGCATCGCATTCTCTCTCTTCATCTGCTAGTGTGGGCATCTTATTAATTTAACGCCTTAATCATACATGCGTGCTACTACTACAAACACTACATGATTAGCACACTTACAGCTTACGCCGTTTGCTACCTGTTACCCTAGTGGGCTAGTTGGTGTCTGGGCCCTTTATTTCTGGGTCCCAGATCTTCAGGAGTGTAACTGACAAGGTTTCGCAGCTCTTCGTTGGAGTGCTTTCCAGCTTTCTTGAAGTCAGCTTTCGCTTTCCGTGTGAGAAACTCTCTAAGTGGCTCCCACTCCAGGTCCTTGTAGATGTGGGAGTTTCTAACAAACCAGGGCGCATCTATGGCCATCCGCAGAAGTTTGTATTCTGTGGCCTGAAGTCTATCATGTGACAGTCGGCTGCATATCCCCACGCAGTGGAGGCGTACGCCAGTGTCGGCCTGATTATGGTCTTGATGAGGAGTAGCTTGTTCCTAATACTCATCTGGCTTCTTCGATTGTGGAGTGGATACAACTTGGCGGTTCTTGCCTTAACCTTGTCGATGGCTGTTTTTATGTTCCCAGCACTGGTGGAAAGTGAGCCCGCAGTAGCGATAACTCACAATCGAATTTTCACGGTATAGACATAGAGACAAAGACCTCCCTGGATGTATCAGGAGGATCCAACGAGGTTCCTATTTTGGAAAATTGATTCTCGATTGCCCCGCACGGTATTTTCGATCCATTCGCGTAGCGATCATTCGAGGTCGAATTTTAATACTTCAGGAATCTTCTACGTGTAAGTGCTGACGTGTAAGATCGGACTTGAGTGTGGATTATAGGTCCCTTGAGGGTTGTTTCCTAACCTAACCATTCCATAGGCTTAGGTCTGTCTCTGACCATTTATTTGTTATTTGCACGTGTTTTATGCATATGAAGGACTTTGTAGAATTTATTGAATGTCTTGCTGATGAAACGAACGAACGTGTGAAACGTACAAAAGCGTTAGCTTAGAAATACGCAAAAGCCTTACCGGTTCTATGAAGACGACGAATTTGTTAGAAGATAGCTTTCGGAAAGAAACTGTTAATGATGTGTTAACTCTATTAGTTTTCAGTAGAATTGGAAGTGGCGGTAATATTTCGTTCACCTATTCCGCCTCATTTCAAACTTCTATGATATATGATCAATGTTCGAAGTAATTTTTTAATTAGCAGTTCCTTGAACTTTTCTACAGGTAAATCTGTCGGATCCTCAAGTGGGATTTTGCCTGCTTGTGATGTTCTTGATAATGGTCGTCCATGTTTCAGTTGGTGCATTGAGGGTGAGTAGTAAGGATGGTCGGTATTTAACGTAACCGCTAAAATAACAGTGTTCCAAACGTGTAACCTAAAACCGTAGTTACAGTTAGCCGATTCAACCGTTTTTTTTGGAACCGTCTCATAAAACCGAAACAGCGGTGCGCACTTCGGACACCGTGGAGCAATCTATCCAGCTGCAGCCGTTTGCCGATTTAAACCGTTGTTTTTGGAACCGCTTCATAAAACCGAAACAGTTGTACGTACTTCGCACCAGCTGCAGCCGTTTGCCGATTTAAAGGTTGTTTTTGTACCTGTCTCATAAAACCGCAAAGCGTGGCGCACTTCGCACCAGCACAGAACCGATAGATGCTACACCATCGAGCGATCTATCCAGCTGCAGCCGTTTGCCGATTTAGACCGTCTCATAAACTTGAAAAAGTGGTTCGCGTCAGAACAGAACTGATCGTCGAGAGCTCTATCCAGTTGTAGCAGTTTCAGTAATCATTTGTCAACCGAAAATATGTTGTATGTAATTGCGCGTTGCCTTGATGATTGTGGCTGACATTCTGTAATAAATCTTAAAAAAAGGGATTTCTCTCAAGAAACTTAGCTCGCCAATTATATGCCAGCAAACTGAGCAGAATGTACACTTGCATATGAGCTATGAGCAAACTAAGAGTCTAAGACGCAAATTCCATCACAGTTGCAATGTAAAATAACAAACCTTTTAAGCAGAATGTGCACCTGCATTTAAGCAAGCTGGCCATTTTGAAATATAAATTCAGTCAGAGATGAAATGAAAGTTTTTGAATAGTAATAAACGTTGTAAGGTTGACATATTTTTTTAAATTATTATTTGGTGGTGCCAAAATTAACTCGAGTAATACTTCGTCCAGGTTTTCCAAACATACATTTCTGTTTGTTGCTATTGTGGATTATTTAATGTTGTAGTGAAACAAAATGCGAGAGATCATAAAACGTAAAAAACATCTGCAAAAAAATTATTCTTAAATGTTAATTCAATTTTAAATAAAATGAGATTTTTAAACATTTTCGCATGTAAACCGTACATTTTATTTAATCACTCTAGTTTATTATCAGTTTTTTTGTTCTTTAAACAGTTACTTCTGACCGATGTTTTGCTTTTCATTTTAAGCTTACCAATGTTAAGAATTATGTTTTTAATCAAGGAAATCATTACATATCATCACTATTTCTACTATCATCATCATTCTGAATTTTTAACGAAAAATTTAAACAGTAACATGTGTCTTTTGTAGCCGGATTTTTAAATCTATTACCAAGGTGGAACTGGAACGTTGTAACCGGTTACATAATACGTTTTATTTTAACAGTGTCGTCTAATATTACAAATTCTCAGTTTAAATTACTAACTAAAATCGTGGGCGAATTTCAAAAACTGGTGATACTGTTTTAGCTCGAAGATGTGGTTGTTAAAAAATAATGCAGTGCCAGCTAGATATATTAAATAATTTCTTATTTGCTCCCAAACTGCGACGAAAGTCGCTCGCTCGCTAAGGTTAACTGATGCATTAGTTCTGGTATTCGATCTCTGTTTTAACCATTTATTTCTTTTGCATGATTAAAACAGTAGAAATTTTTATTCATACTCATCAGGATTACATATCAAAACATAATTGTGTGGTTATGCAGAGACTTCTATTAGTTGAAAGAGCTGCATTAAGTTCCAATTTGGGGATTCTCCACAACTTAATTGTCATAAGGACGATTAATACAAGTTCTATGATTTTTAATTAGCCTAGTTAGAAAGTTGCTATTTCTTCAATTTGTATACAAAATTCATTGTCTAATTCATATTTGCTCTAATGTGATTGTACCCCTTTGAGGAGACGGGGCATCGCTTAGGTTTGGTGCTGCCAGCAGACATTAGTAGGAGTAGTAAAATATACTATTTAAGAATATCTGCTGCTAGTCTTGATTTTGAGTCTCAGTCCTTTGTAATACAATCTTTGACCAATCCTTCGTTCTGCAATCTTTGAACAAATACTTTCATAAGAGTTAAGTAAGGTCATTTAGAAGTCTGTATCAAGAAGTTATTTTTATATAATAAAAAACTTGACAACTATATCTCCCCAAAATATTGTTTACAAGTTGCGGTCGACGACATGAAACCATCGATTATTCTGAACAAAAATAATTCGCAACATAAAACACCACGCTATCATACATTTACAATTAGTCGAACTTGAAAACAATTTAATTGGTGTCAAGTTAGATATCTGCAATTAGGTCGCATTTAATTCGACTTGAAAGTTGCATCAATATGTGCGATTTAAACGAAAATAGATTATATTAGAGCTGCTTAATGTGAAAATTATTCACACGCACATTATTCATACTGAAATAATTATGAAAATACGAACATTAAAAATGTTTTATTGCTATTATAATACGAATAATAGTAATGAATACATACGCAAATATAATTTTTTTTCCTGAGGAAATAATCCATCATGAAATTGAGTAAAAGCGTGTTTTCTTTGTAAACGCGTAAGCGTGGAAATTTGACTTTTGATACACCTGAACGACTAGTAGAATGATGTTTTATAGTGACATTATCACCCCATATTTTTGATTCCTCAAGAACTTTTTCCACAATAGCAAATCAAAAAAGCCCCTTAAAAGCACAAAATTTTCTTTAAGAATTCTTTAGACCTTTGTCATGTTATTTTTTTAGCCCCTAATCGTATTTGAGGAAAAAAGCTGTTTCCTTTGGAGGTTTCACGCATTTACCATGAACAATTGCGTAAACATACCAGTTGTCTAATATTGATTTGTTCTTTTGGACTAAGATGATTTTAATTCGTCACTAATGATATATAGTATGGTATTAAGACACATTTTCCGTGTTTTATGCTTAGTTGTTTGAACATTGTTAAACGCCGACTCTTCACACGAAACCCCCAAGTAAAGAAAGTTGCTTCGAAATACTCCATTAAATGCAAATCATCATCCTGTATATATCAAACACAAGAAAGCGGGCCACCATGAATTCGTGCATATATTTTTGAGCAACAGAAGCAAAAACCTTCAAAAGATATCAATTATATTAATTTTTACAACTTCACTTCCTTCTAAATTAGGATTTAGAAAAGACACATAAATAGGCGCAAAATGTTGCAAATATGCTAAAATAAAAATTTTAACTACACTTATGAATCACATTTATGTAATGGGTAAGTATAACACATTTATGTAATAAAGTTTCACAATTCTCTA